GTTCTTCTCTAACATCAGATAATGGCACAGGAGGTCCAAAATGGTACTGGAAGCCCCTCAAGCTATGAATTGCAAGCCATTGCCATGCTTTTGATATAGGTGATGTCAGAGGCTACCTGCAAGAGCAAATAGCTGTTGTCACTGATGTATTAAAAAGACTTTCTGGCTATCTGTGGTTGTATTAGATCCATATTTGCTATGACAACAGCACCTGATCATCTTCTGACAGTGCTGAGACAGAGGCTGACAACTCACACCTGTTAAAAGAGCTGTCCAGGTAGTGTGTTACATGATGACTCCTTTGGCAAAGAAAGGGAAGAAAATCAATTGTAGAAATGAAAATACTTCATACTACTTGAAAGAGATCAACTGAACATCCAAAATAGCTTTTCTGTTCACACACAACTGCTGAAGAAAGTAGCATGTAGGTGGGAAAACATGTGAAGAACATCTCGTGGTGACCAGTGCAGACCTTAGTATCCCTGGGGATTGTCATGGGGTAAGTCAGGGATATTGAGGGGCTCCAAACACAGGTCTTCTGATTCCTTTTCCCAGCCTGTGGCAGCTGTCCAGGGCAGAGAGTGCAAATGAGAAAGGTCCCCTCCAGAAGGGGTCAGTCACTGCCAGCTCTGCCTCGGAGCAGTTGACATACAGCAGCCAGGCCTTTGCTCTTTCACAAAATCACACAGAATCACAGAATCATTAAGGCTGGAAAAGACCTTCAAGATCATCAAGTCCAACCATCAACCCTACACCACCATGCCCACTAAACCATGACCCAAAGTGCCATGTTTACAGGTTTTTTGAAAACTTCCAGTGATGGTCACTCTGCCACCTCCCTGGGCAGCCTATTCCAATGTTTGACCACTCTCTCAATAAAGAAATTTTTACTAATGTCTAGTCTAAACCTCCCCTGGTGCAACTTGAGACCATTTCCTCTCATTCTATTGCTAGTTGCCTGGGAGAAGAGACTAACACCCACCTCACCACAACCCCGTTTCAGGTAATTGTAGCGAGCAATAAGGTCTCCTCTCAGCCTCCTCTTCTCCAGACTGAACAACCCCAGTTCCCTCAGCTGCTCCTCATTAAGACTTGTTCTCAATTTACCCTTTTTAATTCCACATTTTGATCAACTAATACAGCCTGAAGTCTTTCTCCTCAGCTGTTTCCAAGTGATAAGTTCCCATGTTATATCAGAATTTCTTACTAGTTCCCAAGGGCACATCAGTCTATAGACTGTACCTTTTAATTATATCCTATTTCTATCATTCCCATCACTGAGATAATCCAGATCTTCCAAGTAATAACTGATAGGGCAAGGGGCAATGGTTTTAAACTAAAAGAGAGTAGGTTTAGACTAGCTCTAAGGAAGAAACTTCACCATGAGTGTGATGAAACACTGGAAGAGGTTGCCCAGGGAGGTGGTAGATGCCCCATCCCTGGAAACATTCCAGATCAGATTGGCCAGGGTTCTGAACAACCTGATCTAGTTGAAGATGTCCCTGCTCATGACAGGAGGTCTGGACTAGTTGGCTTTAAAAGATCCCTTCCAACCCAAAGATTCTATGATTCTATGACTCTATGATAACCCTCAACCCTCTGTTGACTCTGGGCAAACAGTCAGAATCAGCAGCACACTCCTTGATTTCATGCTGGTAAAGAAAAAGGTTCTAATTTCAAATGCTAAACAAGATGGACCAAGACTGGTCCTTGTGATTCCTACCAATCCCAATCTCCAGTGATTCAACTAATATCCTCCTATTTCACCCCATAAGGCATTACTGTCCTATCTATAGACAGTTCTTTGTAGTTTAGGAATAGAAAGTTACCCTCTGAAATGTTTTATAGATGGATCTTTTGTGGCAAACATACATGAGAAGTTCCCACTCTGGTCTGGGATTGCTGTTCCTGACATTGCCCATGGTAAAATAATTTGCTAAAGCCTCCAAGGTGACTCATCCATACCAGGGATGATCTAGTAACCCTGAGCTCTTAAGTATGACACAGAAAGATGCTTAGTGAGAGTTGCTGAACATTTCTTTTCTGCAGTTTAAATGAAAGAATCTGAGTTTCTTTATAAAATCAGATTTGCATTTACCCCTGCCAACAGACACACGTGGGGGTAGGACTTAATGGGAGCAGCAACTTCAAAGCCCTAATTGCATAAGTGCCGGAGGCTTTAAACGGGACCCTAAAATACTGGTGAAAGAAGTCTGGCAGTTGGACTGTGGCTGCTGCTTGGGACACCAAAGCTCAGTTCTTACTCCAGTGATTGTCTCCTGCACCACATCTCACAGGGGAGCATCCTATTCCTGTGCTCATCAACATCAGTGGAGGCCCAGGAACAGAATTTGCTAATTCAGGGCTATGTGGGGCTAGGGTAAGTGAGTGAAGACTGCAGTCCTGTGGCCCCAAGGAAAGTGTTATCTATGCACATTGTAAGCTTGATCCTTTCAGCAGCTAGGCTCCTCTGCTTACAGGGTTGCTGGAGAAGGTTGAGTCATGGTCATATCAGAGGGGGTGGTAGCGGTGAAAAAGGACAGCAGCCCTTGTAGCTTTCACCAACGAATGGGTTTGGTCTGGCTGGTGTGAGGGCTAGGACCGCCAGGAAGAGAGATGGGAAGCCAGCAGACTGCAGGAAGATTAAGCCATGCTTTCAGGGAGGTGTATGGGAGACAGCACAGGATTCTTGAGCACCAGTTCTCCTGACTGCTGCAGGAGAACCATGTTTTTCTGCTGCCAGGAAAAAGAGGATGTTGGATTAAACCCTGGAATGAAAGATCAGGAAATGCTGAGTGGGTAGAGATACCATTTCAGAGCCATCACTATTTTGCATCGTGGAGGTACTCACTTAGTTCTGGGACCTTTTCTTCCCTTAGAGGTGAACTAGCACTGAACCTGGGCCCAGCTAGGCCCTGGCCATCCCTCCCTGTGGCTCTGCCCCAGTGCAGGCTCTGAACTGTAAAGAGTCTCATGTTTTCAATCAGGGAGATCCATGGGCAGAAGATCTAGCAATTCCTTTGTGAACAACGGTTAGTAGTCTATCTTGTCTTGCCACAGGAAGGGAGGAAACGGCGTTTGTTATATCTCCAGCTAGAAATGTGGATGGTGAACATGACAGGTGTGTCAGCCATTCCTCCTTCCTTCCTCCTCTTTCACTGCTGGTTCATCAGGGTTGGCAAAATCCAGCCCTAGCATGGGTCTGGACTGCTCCAAGGCTTTGGGGCTTTCTCCCCCTGAAATGAATACAACACCTACACCTAATTGGGCTGCATAAATCTACCTGCCCGTTCTCATTTCACAGATATCTTGTGCAATTTGATTCCCTCACACTGACAATAGTGCTGAAGTACCATGCCCTATTTCCTCCATCTTACTTTGCAACTGAAAACTTCACTATACCTTGAACAGATGCCGCCCTCCCTGCAAAATGCAGGGGATTCACACCCAGCTGTCTTCCTTGCATACCACCAGGCAAAAACATAAGACATCTTTCTTTATGGGTCCACTGGCCCTCTACAGTTCCCAATCTACTCCTGAGAGAACAGTTTTCCCTGTTTACTAGCAGGCCTCCATAGCAGTTTCCTGACCTCTATTCCTGGGTTTATAGCAGAAAAAACTGAATTCCTCCGCTAGTCATTGGCTGGAATCTTGAGTTGGATAATAAAAATTTCTTTCCAGGTTCAACCACATGACTAATTTTCCAAGAATCTGTGAAAAGTCCTAGCCACTTTCAGGCCTTTGAAGTCTGGTGGCATAAAAATATGTAGAATTTACAGAAGTTATTTAGTGACTTATGGCAGTAATTAAACTAGCCACATCAACACTGCTGTGTTTCTGTTACATGGAGCATACTAGAATCAGGTCAGCCAGCTTCCCTGAAACCTGAGTTCTTGGTTTGCTCTGCTTCTGCCTGGCTGTTGGCTCGGTTGTCTCATGAGTAAGTGCAACAGAGACCTTTCAGTCCACCTCACTCTCAGGACTATTCTTCTAATCCAGCGTTATAATTCATTTTGCCATGGGATGCTATGCCCACCTTTTGAAGTAATTGCAATGTTGGTTTCAGGAAGGCCTGAGAACCTCATTATTACAAACAAGCTTTTTACTGCTGAGAGAGTGGAAGTGGTGTTAAGAAATGAAGCCATAACAAAACTTCCGTTGGAGCCTGTATTGAATTTTTCACTTTTCCTGCAAGCTGCAGGATGGAGGGCTCTGGGTGGGAGAAGGCTGCAGTCTGGTACAGTGTCACATGCTCTGCCACATCGTCCCATTGTATCAGCCGACAGTAATGCTCCCTGGTATTTTACCACAGCAACCTTCAAATGTCAATAGCCCTGTGGGTAACTCCTCTTTACACTCCAGTGCATCAACATCACTCCTGGCATGAAGAAGCTGTACTGCTAGTTTGGAGATACGGTTTCAAGTCTCAGTTCTGGTTTTCATGATCTTGATTTCTTTCCTGCATGGCAGCCTTAAATTTAGCACTCAGCAAGGGTGTAGCATGCTTTCATAGAAAACAAAAGATGTCATCCTGATGGCTGAGGATGGTGATGAATCCCTTGTTTGCAGTGGTGGGGCAAGGGAGGGGGTCTGGTGACATTTCCTGAGTGCATACAATGACACCAGGAGGACAACATTTCCCTCCAGCGCCTCTTGGTACCACAGGGCGGCCCAGGTCTGGGGATGCTCATCTTCAGTGGGTCTGGTCAGCTCAGCTCCTCACTGTCCTGGCATCAGGTAGGGAGAAGGTCCTTAGCAGGGGGCCCAAGCAGTTTACACCTTTCACTTTTCTTACACTTCTCTGGCTGGAGAGGGGGGAGCTGAGCAGGTACACAGAAAACCTTAAAGGTCTCAAATATTCCAGTGCAGAAGATCAGAGAAAAGGATGTTTGGATGTGACACAGTGCTTCTCAAATCTATACATGGGGGCGTGGCCAAGGAATATTATTTGCCTTTTGTTTGTTTTTCCCCTTCTAAACAAGTCCTCCTTTTATTTGCAGCTCAGTATTTTGCTAGCATCATGGTCATCGTTGGTCTGTCTGTGGTGGTAACAGTACTGGTTCTGCAGTTTCACCATCATGACCCACAAGCAGGAAAGATGCCCAAATGGGTAAGCAGCTTTCGTGGTAAATATTCAACAACCTACTGAAACAAAAAAATAATCTGAAAGCTATAGTAAACTAGGTAAGAGGCAGAAGTTTTTATCTATTAATATGAAGAGTCAGTTACAGAGAGCATGTCTGACACTTATGTTTGCTGTTGGAGAGAAAGAATTCCTTTAAAACCAGTATCTGTTACACTGGTTTTCTATTTAATCTTACAATGGCGTGATTGAATGATGGCAGAGTAATCTTGCTCAGTGCCTGCTTTGCAAGTGCTAACCCTGTGGACAATAGCTGTGATTTCTTATCCAGCAGACACCAGTACTGATAAAATGTGACATTTCAAAGGACCAAACAGTTACTGGTCTCTGCTGGACAGTTTATCTGCTCCCTTACGGTTCTCACTGCAGTTCGTGACAGAGCTGTAATCTCCCAAAACAAAGACAGGAGATGAAGCCAATTTACTTCTGTCTTGCAACTTGTTCCAGTTATGAGTTGTCTCCCTGAGGTGCTGGAAGATCAGGAAGCTCGATACCTCAGTGTAGTGAGGGTGTTGAATACTGAACCCAGTATTCAACCCAGAGCTTCTCACAGCTTGGAGCTCATTGATGCTGCACCACCAGCAGAAACAGAAAGGCAATGCTGTTGGGCGGTCTGACTGTACTGAGATGACCCCTGGACTTCCCAGGCTTGGCAAACTGCCTTCTTCTGAAGCCACATCCACTCGTCTGTGGAAAAACAATTTTCCCTGCTGCCAACTAATTGATTCTCAGAGCATTAACATGTGGACTCTATTTTCTCTACAGTAGCAGACTGTTAGCCCAGTGAGGTCTGGCACCAATGCCAGTTGGCTTTCAGGATGAATGTGTTTCCTTTAGATTTTAAAGTCAAAAGAAAATGATGCTTTTTTCTCTCTCCTTTTCCTAGGAATAGATTTTAGAATAAGAAAGGTGTACTTTGTATTTACAAAAAGAAAAGGAATGAAAGCAGAAGAAGATACAAAAAGTCACACTCAACTGTGCACCCACACTGGTTTCACAGAAGTCTGGTTGTACAGCATCCTCTAGTATCTCATTCACCACATCTGTCATGCTAGACAGTTATCCTGACATGATGTTGAATGTCACATGGTTACCAATGTCAGCCTGAGTACAGAAGAGCTTTCTAATTTGGCCTCTCTAAAAATAAACTGCAACATCAATGCAAATTAAAAAAAAAAAAAAAAAAAGTCCAGTAGCAATTGAGCACACTAACAATTTTTTCTTAAAGTGCTGTATCATTTAAAATCATCTTACTTTCAAAACAGCAGAGAATGTGAATTCTGGATGAACCTGCACGTAAGAAAGACCTGAGGGCACAAATCTGGATAAACATGCTTCAGATGTCTACATGGACAGGGTATGCAGCAGCATAACAGCCCCTCAGACAATTGTATTGTTTGTTCTACTTTTTGAGAAGCTTAGACACAATGGCCCATGTTAAATCTGCTCACAGGCCCTGCAAGTCAGCTCTTGCTCTCTACCAGTCTCTTACTCTCTTGGCTGGAAACACAGCGTGCAACAAATTCTCCTCTTGAGGAATCTTGTTTGATGGCCTGACAGCTGAAATGGCATACATTAAAAAAACGCCATCAAGGAGCAACGACTGTGGAAAGCACTACTGGGAAACACAGATGATAGACTGTGAAAGCTGTAAGCCAGGCAAGCTGACAGGGCTGAGAGATCTCAAGAGAAAAAGGGTGAATGCCAAGTGTGTAG